CATTTGTCTCTTTAAAATAAGCTGCTTGGCAGACAAAATAGCTGTGTGTTCAGAAATCAAGAATATGCAAGTCAACCATGAGACAGAAGTAGCTTTGACTCAAATATATTTTTATTTTTATTATAAAACATTTACTGCCTGAAAGTATGTTTAGTATAAAGCAACAAAAATTCTCTCTTTCTTGGTACTTTTATCAATTAGCCTATCACTGGAGCATTTTAAGAATTCAGTTTTTTGTTTGAATGCAGATATCATCTACATCTTCAGTTTCACAGTTTGCTGGTCCCCATTTTCACTATTTCTAGACCACCTTTATAGCAGTATTGGTTTGGGAGGGTGGTCCCAGGTGGAAGCCCATGGAGCAGATACAACCCTCCAAGGCAATTACTCTGTCTTACTTCGGGGTGTCTGAAGAGACAGATATAAGGCAGATCACTGAGTCCAAGGGGGATGATCCTTCTTATTGCAAGATGCATCCTTGTTAAAGAAGCTGAGAAACATAGCTAAGGAAAGAACAGCGAACAGCAGCTACAAGCCTTCTACTATTCCTGTCTACTCATAGCTAGAAAGCTAGACCAATCCACGGTTCTTCAAGTGGAGCCTCAAGACTGGATCTGAGCCCCTATTAACACTGTAGAAACTCTTGATTCTAGACACTGGATATGCCTTTGGAATAGAGAATTTTGAGTTTTACTCCTAGCTTTGCCAAGAACCTGCTGTGCAACGCTGGACAAATCCTGTCATTAGCTGAAAAACAGGAAGGGGTAACAGTGGAAACTAAGCCCTGCAGAAGAGAGAAAAAGGCGTTTATGTAAAGCTTGCAAGAACAATTGCAAGTCCCATCTTTGCTGGGGCATCAGTAACACATGCCCATAAATTACCGAGCCATTTTTCATATTTATTATACCAGAATTGCAAAACTGGGGGCCTTATTTCAGTTTCAGTTTTTCCCCCACCCCCACCTCACTCGTGCCAGAGACCACATTTCTTATAAATAAGATTCTTATTTCAGTATTCATTAGATTGTTTGTCAAGAAGAGCAGCTGGTGTTGATCAGCTGATTAAGGTGCACTGGGGATGGTTCAGCCTAAGGAAGGTAAGGCACAGTAACAGATTTCAAATATGTGAAAGGCTGCTCCAACGAACAGAGAAACAACTTCTTTTCCCCACATTCAGGGTGGGCAAAATAAGGAGTTTTTGATTTGCAGCAAGGAAGATTCAGAGTGGATGGCAAACTGTTTTAATATTAAGGCCATCATAATACTAGAACAAATCACTCAGGAAATCCTTTTAAGACCAGATTAGCAGAAGTCTGTCAGAAACGGGCTGTATGCTGGCCCAGCTGAGCTCTCTTCTACTTCTATGATTCCAGAGTCATTTCCCCCAGCCACCTTAATTATTTGATAACCTCACTATTTTCTAAAAGAACCATCAAAAGCGTTAAATGTGGGCTTTATTATTAAAAATTCTTCTAAATAGAGTGGAATAAAATGACTGAAAAGCTTAAGAGCACAATTCTAATACCTGTATCTGTGTATGTAAAAAGTTTAAAAAGTGGTCCAGTTGCTAAGGACACAAAGCCACGTAACGGTTGTAACGGTGGCAATGGCTGATGCTGAAACCATCAGAGTACTATCAGCACATTTTAGCCCAATACAGAAGCATAAACTTACCTGCAATGTAAAAAGCATTTGATGGAAACATTGAGTTGATCTATCCATCCAGTCAAGTGAACAGTAATAAGGCAGAAGAGAAATAAATGGGTCAACAAGTATTTCACACTTGAGTGCCCTAGATAAGAAATCGCACAGCTAAAACCCGAACTTGGAGGCACCCCTGCTGCTCCAGAAGCAATGATAAACTATACCTCTAATTTAACTGACATTTCAAATGGTTTCCAAACAGGAATTTTCTCTGCTTTAAAGCACACAGTGCAAGAAGTTTTAATTTCAGTTTGCTTTCTATAAAAACTATATTGAATGATTTTTTTGTACAATTAGCTGCATAAACTGAAGTTTCTATTGTGAAATAGAAACAGAACATTTAATAGAATATTTGGAATATTCCATTCTGGATAGAATCTTTAATTCAGCGCACACACAGTGAATTTACTTTATTTGAGCACGAGATGGTAAGCAAGGCAATTGCAACAAACTATACACAGTCCTATTTCTTTGCCTTGGGAATTGACTTCTGGCTTTAAATTACTTACTGCTAGAAAGCAGTTTGTTCCTGTCCGCTTAGCAAAGTCAGATGCTGGTTATAGTATTCAAGGAAATTGAAAATAGATGAGATGTGGCAATAGAAAGTGAAAGAAATGTGAAACTTTCAAATAGTTTTCAAAGTAAACTAAGCACAGGTAATGACAAGTCTTCACTATTTGCTTGAAGCTGTAATTTCCTATCTAATAAAATTATTCACTTAGAAGTAATTAAGGGGTATGTCAGATCATATGTAGGTCCAATTTAAATATCAGAAATGCACAATTTTTACATCATCAAAAAACTAGTAGCTTCCCCCCCCACACACACGTTTACAAAGTGTAAAACCACAACGTAGTTAAAATACAACAGCTAGCAGACATTACGCTCCAAGTAGTGTTTGTAATTGCAAATCATGCTTCTGTGAGGAAGAAAGAGATCATAACACCCAGTATGGCTTTGAAGAACCGACAGCCGTATTCAGATAACCTATGTTTTACCTGTGCCCCTGTGCCTAGCATTTCGTAAAGGGTTGGTCCTAGGCCTTCAGAGGTTCTGGTCAACAACAACACTCGAGACAGGGCTCAAGACAGAAATTAACTGTCAGAATGAAGCCTGCAAACTTAACTTTTTGCTACCAAAGCTGGGACAGCATGCAAGAGCAGCAAATGTTGCATTAGATTTGTTACATGTGCAGTGGAATATAGTAGAAATGGGGAACATATAACTTGGAATACATGAATTTTTAATATTTGTCAGAGAAACCCTCTTTCTCTAAGGACATTTCTTTTGAAAAGCGCTGTCCTAGCTTTGCGTGCACTGAAGTCATCGGCAGCTTCATGTCAGCACTGCTGTGAGCAAAGGCCCAGCAGAATTCAGGGACCTTTGATGCTCAGAAAGGGGGGAAACACTAAACCTCTGAGCTGTCATCCAGTCCAGTGAAGTCTTGAAAAATTCAAGACCACATTAATCCAGAGGGCTCAAGATGCAGCTACCTCAAAGTAACAAATCAGGGTTCTGAGCATCTGCAAGCCAGAAAATGGCCATGGAAACAAGAAAACACTAAGTTAGAAGTATTTGACTTCTATGACACTTCTTAAGATGCTCTATGGGCCGTCCACTAAAGAAGGCAGCTGCCTCTGTGAGGAATTGCCATAATTCAGTACTGTTTATAGACATCTTAGAATTACACTTCAGCAAAACTCTTGTTGATTCATTTGGACCAAAATCAAGACTTGGTATGTGGAGAACGAATCTAGACTCTGAACACTTCCACACTGAGCCTATTAAGAGCCTATTATATAAATATTTTTTTTTAATCTTTCAGACTATCCTTTATGGTAGCAATTTTCAGCTGGTCAGATAAATAAGAAAGCCTCTGTATTACAGATATTCTGAGTTTAAGGACAAATTGTCCTAACTGCAGCACCATCATTCTCTACAAAATCATTGATAAATTCCTCCTAAATTTTTATTCAGTAATGGCTGCCCTCTGCTGACAACAGGAAAACAAAGACGCTGCTTAGACTTTCATTTAATCATTTCACTACGAGGAAGGGAAAACCTGCTTTACGAATACTCTACATCACAAGTTCATAAGGAAGTACAAACTATAGATGGTTACAGAAAAGGATAATCAAACTTCAAAGGGAAGATTGAGATAATGTGACATACGAAACCTGCTTGAGATATCCAGAGAGGCCTCATGACATTGTCTCCTTATGTAGCAGAAACTGGTGTTACTACTGTGCAAGTGCAACATCTGCTCACTACACCACCACGCTGTGGTTCATGAGCATTTGCCCTCATGAAATTTCAAAAAGCATACACTTTCTGTATTAGTTAGTGCTAATACAGAACTAACGTTAGTTAGCAAGAACAATCTGCCTCAAAAACATTATACTGCTTCAATATCATGCTCTCAAAATTCAAACAGAGGAATCCTAAAGAGCACTCTGATGCTAGGCGAATGGAATTCAAGACTGGTTTTAGGCTTTTAAATATAGTCCCTCCTCTACTTTCCATTCATTAATTCATGACTTTCCAAAAGAAGTTTCAACAAACTGATTTTTATAATGCACTTACATTAACTTCAATAGTAAAGTGAGGACTGAAAACCATTATTTTTGAACGTATGATAGCAAATACATGCACCATATGACAAAGGAGTAATTCCACCTTAAGCTTCTAGCGACACTGGAAAGAAACCATCCAGGTTCCCTCTCGTGGACTATGGCGTGACCCAAAATTCTACAGGAGTTAAAACATAATGACATTATGCATATTATCTCATGTGTAAATCCCAACAGCTTCCAGTATCTGAAATACAGTAACAGGAATAACATTCCTTTGCATAATCATTTGAACCACTCCATCAGAACAGATCTCTGTAACACGAAATTGCGTTACTGCACAGGAGCCTGCTCCCCCCGCACCCAACAGTCTTCTACACCCCTGAAGCGTAGCTGCGAACGTTAGCCAGACTTGGGGGTTTTTTTCCCCACAGGCGTACAGGTAACAAGAAGATGTCCCTGCTGAGAAAGGAGATAATGTAAAGCAAGCACGTACCTGTAAATGAAGGCTGCAGATAGCTTCAGCGTTTTCAGAGGATCTGCTGTGTGTTCGTAAAGAGCACGTAGCTGCAGAGTGCATTACTTGAACTGCTTCTTATCTATTGTCTTGCAATGTGCCAAAGCAAATATAAGCCTAATGCATCAGTCGAGGCTTTCCCAACCTAATCGCTTGCACACTTCCTGCATCAAGCATTTAAAGTTACTGTTACAGAACATTCAGCCAACATAATATCAAAATATATTTTATTCTGGACCTCTTTCAGATCTGATTCAAATTACAGTTGTCAAAGCAATACAATGCAAAGGGAAACTGCAACAGAAAATGTGCCTAGAAGGGATATAAGGGCCTTGGGGACAAATCATTGTGATGTAGAACCAAAATACATCATAAAGTGTAATTAACATGGTCCAGGACAGTATAGAACATCTATATCAGTCTTCTTCAGACAATAATCATGAAAACTGAACAATAAAAGTCCTTTAAACAAGTACAAAAAACTGTCATGGGCTGGTTTACACTTTTACAACAGTTGTAATTTAACTGGATAACTGAAGAAATGATGCAGACATTTTAATCCAGTGCTATAGGTAGGCTCACAGAATTAGACCCAAAGGATTTGTAACTCCAAATGAAACCATTACAACTACAATGTCAATGTCAGGAGAGAGAGAAAAAAATTACTTCTGTATTCTAGAATTACTCATCTGCACACTGCAGTCGGTTGAGGACAAGATTGCAAAGTACACTGGACTAGCAACAACATGCAGACTGTTTTCCTGAATTTACCCACAAATGTCAAAAAACATTATGAAGTAAGAATGAATGATTATTTAAGAAAGAAAACAAAACAAAACGTGCCTTCAGTTTGTGTCACGCTTCAAACTTAAAGGCAGAGAAAGAGAATCGTGTACTCAAAACTACTGATCTGAAGCACTATTAACACTAAATCTGCAATTTGTAAGAAATGGCAGATCTTCCTGTTGTTTTGTCTGCCTTCGATCGGACTGACAGCGAAGACAGTCACACTTTCACCGAATTTCAGAGCTTGCTCTAAGAGGGAGGAGTGAAGGCTGCTCCATGGCTCCCTCCCTCAGGAAAATGTCAGGGATCTCGATGGAGATTTACTGCTGTCTCCCGAAGCCATATTTGCTTCTAACATGCCACAATGTTGCTTCTGCTTTCTTCAGACTTCTGGAGAGTGTGAAAGCGATCCCACCGGGGAAAGGCCCCGCGGGACTTTCTGAAGGTCGAAGATACAACGCTCGTCAATGAAAAAGGAACACTGGGCTAAACCCGGCAGGCCCTGCTCTGGCACAATTCCTCCTCAAGTCAACAGGAGGTTTCTTCCTCAGGTGAGAGGTGGCTCATTACACCTCCGTGGCATGCAGTACGGTATTACACAGACCCAAATCCTCCAATGGTTACTCTGGCAAAGTTTTCTCACCAAGTGAAAGAAAATGGGATTTCTGATTAAGTAAAGATTGGAAAATTGGGTCCCAAGGCTTCTCTTTGCTAAACAGACAAAAACATACAACCTTTTATTTACAAGCTGAAAAACCCAGTTTGCAATTTTAATGAAATTCCTTCATTCAGCAGAATTAAATGCGTCAGCTGCTAAGACTGCTCGGTAGGCAAACGGGCACAGCAACCCTATTCCCTCTACTGTTCTTCCTAAACACAAACAACGTTTTAAAGGTACATTGTCCCACTAAATACCCTAGCATGAGGTAAGCAGTGTAAGGAAAAAGGAGTGCTTTTTCAATGACAATTAATTAAAATTGGTAGAAATCTTTGGCCTTTCTCTCAAGATGCGTTAAAGTGTCATGAAATCAAGAAACATGCTTCTAAATGCCATGTCATTCTGACTCTGGTAACTATTACCTCCCTCCACCCAACCCAGAAAAAGAGGCACTTTTAGTGTTTCATATAAGATTTCCAATCGTCTCGTAGACACACTAAGTAACCCTGCACAATTGTAGTCCCAGAATAAACTGAGTTTATCAACATTACAAAGAGTCTAAAAAAGCTTTTATGAGGACCTAGATATTCTCTTAACTACACTAAAAAGTCCACTGGTTGGGAATCTTTACATCGATTTAAAAATGCAGAAAAAAAGTAAAAGTAAAAATAGGAAAAGAGAAACTCTACAGAAACCTGGACCTAATTATGCAGAAATGAGAAACAGGATTCCAAAACTGATGCATAGAAAGCAAACTCTAGAGCAGTTCATTTCTTACCCCATCACTGAGCCCAGTTTTTCCCCTTCCTTTTATCCTCTGTTTGCCCATTAACTTGTTGAACTGGAAAAAATAGCTACTTTAGTGTGCGCAAAGGCTTATGCACATGTTTGCCTTTACAGTTAGGAAACAGGCGCAATATAATTAACCAGTATGTAAAACTAAGTATGTGCATACATTTATACAAAATTAGGGTCTTACTGACATTTGGCATATTCAATTTAAAGGAACAATTTGGATAATGTACCTCACTATTGAATACGAGGTCTTTTGTGCTATACAATATAATAATTAATGTCATGGTTCTCTCTTTTTTTTTTCTTTTTTTTTTTTTTTTTGCTTCACATAATCACAGAACCTAGCACACCTTGCATGCATGCATTTAACAGTGTATAAAACAAGAGGCAAGAAGAGGTGTGAGCAGGAGCAGCACTGTGGCATGCTAGTAAAGGACAACAATAAAATATCTATTGGCCAGATCCTTTGCTAGTGGAAACTGGCGTAATTCCACTACAGTGGGGCACTGCTGATTTTAACACCAGGTTTGGAGGTCTTAGCCTGTGTGTCCAGAGCATTCAAGTCAATAGATCTGACATTCCTGGACTACGCGTCAAGCACCTGAAAACCCTGGACCTGTGATACTGAAGCTCTGTATTACCTATTTATGAATATGTGATACTATGCTCAAGCAACTAGAATTACAACCAAAACAGCTGATGATTGAGAAAGAGGAAAATGGCAATACCCTAAAAACATGGCTGTGAGGTTTTGCAGCTATGTCACAGAATTCCACCACAATTCTTTAGACTGGCTGAAAGAATCATCCAACAACTTTTATGAAAATGAATAAACTGTTCATATTAAAATACAAAAGTACTTTCAAGAATCACTTCTGACTTTCAGATTTAAATTCAGTGCAATTGACAAATGCATTGCTCAACGAAAAATGCAGCTTAAACATACTCAAAACATTTGTGTCTATTCCTGGGAGCACAGTTTAAAATTATTGCACAGAATTTTTATTTTTATTTTTATTTTTTTTTTATTAATGACAGAGGTCAGCCACAGTCATGGACCTCCAGCAATAAAAGCAATATTTCAAGTGCCAGACACTCAATATATTAGGTTTCCTACATACTGTAACTCACAGGGTAATTGCTTTAAACATTTGTAATGTGTTCCAAAATCTTAAAAACAGCTGGCACTGAACCATCATAGATGACTGCCTTTATGGATATGACTTTTTGTTGTCTTTAAATGCTGTGTATCATAGTATTATATTCCTCACTAATAACAGCTGGGGTATATATAAAGAACATATCTGACTTCTCTTTACCACCGGCAAATTGCTACCCTACCTTAGCCAAACTCAGACTTGCTTCAAGCCGTGTTTATTCCATGGAAATAGCAGAAATCAATGCCTAAAGAACAGTTGTTAAAATGTCAAAGCTGCGTTATCTCGATTAAATCAATTTATATCTAACTTCGGGGGGGGGGGGGGGGGGGGGGATAAAAACAGAAAAAAATGTTAGAGACTAGTAATCATAAGCCACAAAATTATTTGTGATTGAAATAGTGTTATAAAACTGATAACTTTGCCAAGCTCTATAATATAAACCATTCCTTAAGTAAAATGCCTGTGACATAAATTTGACAACCTCTCTTTTTATAAATTTACACTCTTGGAATCTTATGCAAGACATGATGCAACCTTTTCAACTACATATACGCGTAAACACAACCTCATGCTATCATTTACAAATAAAATCACTATCAGTATACTTTTAATCACATGAGCAGAAAAAGGTTTGCCATATACATCTGTTATTGTAAGAAAAATACTTGATATTGTAAACAGAGTAAAAGACACTATATAGTAGTGATTATTAAAAAAATAGCAGCTTACATCTACCCTATATTTGGAAAAAAATGTAGTCACAAGATACAATAAACTGCAGGACTGGAGCAGCAGGGGAATTAGTGCAAGTATTCATCTTTTAAATAAGCTGAATCACTGCTATTAAAATAAACTTGAAGCAAGTCCTCTGTTTAAGATTTTTTGAAAATCTAAGGTAGTAAACATTTTGCCTCTTAATGGCAGTGTTATCAAATATATGCCAAAGATTTTTTTTAATAAAGAAAAATTACATGAGATACTTAATACTGGAGTTTGGTTACAATTACACATCTAAGCTCCTACAAATAATGATGGGAAACTCTCAGAGAAGCTGTGGCATGAACCCTTGTCCAGAAAGATCTTAAACCTCTTAAAAAAACAAAAAAAAACAAAAAAAAACAAAAAAAATAACCTCCCCCTCCCAGCTATATTTTGCTCCTTTTCACAATAGTGCACAATTTAACCATAATTTAGCTATGGTCTCAAAACAACAGAAGATGCATTCTTTTCTTTTTTATTCTTTTTTTTTTTTTTTTTGCATCCCTGTATTTTCTTTTCTGTATCTTTGTGCCCTTCTACTCTTCAGTTTGGCAGAATTATGTCCCAAATAAGAAACTACTACATTTCAGCCATGTCACCAGAAAAAAAACATAGCATTATACCCATTACTGACATACTTCGTAGATTAGCAGGATGTGCAACATCACGCCTCTAAGATGGATTTTTCTTCTCTCTCCATAATCCCTTTTCCACCCTCCTTCTGTTCTCAAAATTTTGCTCTGGGAGCCACAGAATGTACCAAACATTACCAGGTTCAATCTACCTCTTCAAAGAATGCTTTAAAATATCTTTCAAAGAAAAGTTTTTTTTTCCCAAGGTGAAAAAGAATATAAACAAGAAACTAATTCACTCCATTACTTCATGCATCGTAAACTTAACCAAAACAAAACAGAAAACCCAATGTTTAAAAGCAAAGAAAAAACTACTGCTGCAGATTTCTTTAAGTCCATTTTCTCTGTACACACAAACTGCTCGACTACTGAGAAGGGGAAAAAACCCCACAATCCATTGTCATAATGGATTTAAAGGGGGGAAGGGGTAATGAAGGCTGCCATTAGTATCTTCTGAATTTGGTATGTATATGGGTCTGCTCTCGTATATGGTATATTTCTCTCTCTCTCGCTCTCTCTTCTGTTTTTCATATCCAAAACCTTTAAATGTTATTTTGGGGCACAGCAGATTCCAGCACTTGGTGAACAGGATTCACAAGCTGTGACAAAACTCTGTCATCCTCTTCAGGGTGTTTTTTTTTTTTTTTTTTTTTTTTATATACAGTATATGTATATATTTCTTTTAGGTTTGGCTGTAGTGGACTGGCCATGGTTCAATTGGGACTATAGCAGTACATGGGTCAGGGACAGTCATTTTGGCTATGTACACATTCATAGTCGGTCCATGGCTTCCAACTAGTAGCGCTATTTCCGTAGGTCTAATACACAAACCTGTAAGAAAAAAAACATATATACAAATTGCACATTAGACAATATTATATATTTATACAATTCTGTTTTAATTATCAGAACAAAACCCATAAACCAGATTATGCATGTTTAATCTCAAACCTATTTATCAACCAGTGAAGAAAACACCACGTAAGCACTTCGACTATGAGCACCGAGCCAGACAGGCTAAGGACACTGCTAACCTAATGAATCACTAACAGAACATTAGAAACATCTAATGCAAGCTGTTTGTCTTTTATTTAATATTAAAAGGCCAAGAACTTACTTGAATCTAGTTTACAAAAATATAGTAAAATGAAATTTCAAATATTATCTAGGAGAATATTAGAATTGATCAGAATAATCTAGATTAAACTACAAATTCCAGTTTTCATCTTCTCAAAATCCTCACTAAGAAACACTTCTACTTGTGTTAGGTCTACAAACTGAGGCTACATCTATTAGTAAAACATAATTATATACAAGCTATGCTCACATTCATCAAATGGTTCCAAAAAAAGTGCCTCTATTTGTTTATTTATTACCATCTGTTAAGTATACTTAGAACAGAGAGGACAAGGAGGACTTTCCCTAACAAGCTGTATAAAACAAACTAAGAATGATATTCAAAAAGCAAAAACTAAATTAAAAAAAAAAAAAAAGACACACAAATCTGATGCAAATTTGACCCTCTTGGGTCAAATTAATGCAACAGGCAAAGACTGAAAAAGAAAGACTGCATGTAACCAAAAGTGTCATCTAGGGTAAGATGATAATTTCTACTCAGGAAATATATTGAGCTTTTGTTCCTTTCATGATGTTATCTATATTTATATGACAAAGATGATATAAAAAAACTAATTGAAATTAACTCTCTAGAATTAAGTTTCCTTAAAAATTTTAGAGCTTCCTATTTTTTGTTCTGAACAGTAACAAAGTGATCTCAGCAGCACAGAGCACACAGGACAGGAGCAGGAAAGGAAGCCTTGTGGATTCTTTGGCACATGAATTAAGACTTGAGACTCTACACTACAAAGCTACCAGGACTGCTATTTCCTAACATTTGTCACTTTAAGCTACAGCACCTTAAAATATGTCTTATCACTTTCATCCTATTCTAAATTTGTTTTTCCTTAGGCTCCCTCTCCTTTGCTATAAAACCACAGCAAATGAGAAGCAAGCAAAAAACAAGTGTCGCATTTATCATGAAGAACTGAACATTAATATTTCAACTGCAATACGTTGCAGGACAACACTAGAATAGCTAGAAGGTGATGCTGTAACACAGCAGCATGAGATGATAAAGGGCATACTCTGATTAGTGAAACATATGATTCTGTTCCCTAGTTGTTCTGAGCAAAGTAAGCAGATTGGTATTTGCACATGTAGTTCCTGTTATTTTTAGGGACTTTTTAACTATGAGCATTCAGAAATTGGTACTTTGTTTTGCTAGTCTTTTGATTTGTTGATTGCAATGCAGAGGATATTTTATTATTACGCATTACAAAAATATCACCTACGCTGAACATTTTTACTTGAGAAGGGCAAAGAGGCATGAATGAACTAGTTTCCACACTGCAGTGAAATGACCAGCCACGCTGAGTAAGTTTCCATAGTAAGGATCAGAGGCGGGAGAAAAAAAAATTAAATGCATCTTTCCTTCTAACCGATTTTTGGAGCCCTGAGAAACAACACATGCATTAAGCTGGAATAAATATATATTCTCCTTTCAACATTACAGCACCTTTACATGCCAAAATCTAGTTGTGAGTTTCATCAAAATAAGGAAATGTTGTCTCCATTAATCAAAAGATTTCCAAATGATGTTAGACTGTCAAATAAGTCAAGCTGCACTTACTGAACCATCTGAAGCACTTGCTCCAACTTTGTCTCCTGCTGCATTCCAGCAAACCTCAAAAATTCCTCCTGTTCCCCGATAACTGTGAACTAGGGCACCTGTCTAAAAAGGGAGAAAACATGTAATTAATATAACAAAATGCACATGAACAAGTTCAACCCGAAAAACACATAAAACCTCCCTATTGCTTTTAAAGGCTGAAATTCTCAGAGGAAATGGTTCAGATGGACAGTCTAAGTAGTGTGCTAAAGGTGCTTAGGTGAAAGTCTTCCTCACAAAACACTATTATCCTGTCTTGATCTCCTCTAGTGTGTGAGAGGCAAAACTAGGGGTTGTTGCAACTACTTTCAATTATTAAAATGAGCCGCTCAAAAATAAATATCCTATGCCCAGTACGCTGGCAGAGATCACAGTTTGCATAACAACAACGTCCTTCCAGTTCGATTCCTGTACAGCATTCTTTTGACAGAAATACAAAACAAGTGGTAGTGTTCCTTCTTAGAAAGATCTGTGGGCTTTCTTTCCCTGCCTCCCACTTCTCCCTTTTTTATCCCTTCTCCCATTCTTAAAGTGAAATTCAATGAAATAGCTGCGGGGTAACAAATTTGAATGTCTACATTTGGCAGCATTTTCACAGCAAACTTGTTTTATCTAGAGTTTTAATGTTCAAAAATCATAAAGACAATTTGTGGATGCAACATGCTATTGGAGAAACTTTACTGAACATGTAACTTCTTTTTTGTTGTTTTGCCAAGAATGCTAATAATATAACCACAGTTATTACTTGCCACAAGAAGTACGTGACAGATTACACAGGAAGTGGTGAAGTCCAGACAGAGTAAAAACAAACAAACAAACAAAGATCAAAGCATCAAAAGATTAACAGGATATGAGATTGAAAACAACAGGCAGGCACTCATTGACAGAAACTATAATGTACATACACTAATACAAGAAACTGAAAAAACAAAAAGAAGTGAGTCAGCACAGTAGCAAAGGCAAAGCTCTCTGTAGCAAAAACATGATGGCACAACAAAAGTTGGAAGAGTATTAACAGAAAAGACTGAAACATAAACTTTCTAAATAGAGACAGAAAAGTTATACCTGCGTATTCCAGATGTGTACGCATTTATCAAAGGAGCCGCTGGCCAGGTACCTGCCATCAGGACTGAAAGCTACACTGTACACAGGTTCTTGATGTTTTGTCAGAGTATGAATACAAATTCCTCTGTCTACATCCCATAACCTAACAGTAGAATCAAAGGATGCACTGTCAAAGGAAAAACAAAAAAAATCACAGATTATTTACATGTAAATTTTACATAATTTTGTTTTCAGTAGAAACACATACGATATAAAGTACCCTACGCAGTGTTGAAACATTCTGCGACCTTACATATATAAAGAGTGAAGTAAAAATAACGCTCATTTTCTTAAGAGGCATCTAGAAATAGGAATAAATAGTACCTTGCTAACATAAGATTGGCATTTGGATTATTTGTTCCTGGTCCTGTAGGACTCCATTTGATAGTATAAATTTCTTTGTTGTGTGCTTGTAAATCATGGACACAACTGTCTTGTTTCATACTCCAGATCTATGATAAAATGGGAGAAAACACAAAGGCATTTAGTACAATATCATACTAAAATACATTTTACATCTCTGTTGTTTATCACTTGCAGAGCCTGACTTGCCTGACCTTTTAGGCCACTCAAAACGTTTGCTATGACTGTTGGATTTTTGGAGTAATTACAATAAGAATAATTCCCAAACTACCCTCCATTCTCTTACTTAAATACCTGACCAGGTTAATAAATGATAAAGGTACAGTCTATAGAAAGCAATTTGCATGTGCTAACTGCAAGCCTTGTTGAAAAGTGCAGAGATGACAGCAGATACTGAAATGAGAAGACCAACATGTATACGTTTTTGTCTGAGTTGACAAAATATCGCAACCGCATTTTTAAATGAACTTCTTGCTACACAGATTGACTGAAATAAACGGATAGTAAAGAAACTTTCTATTTTAATACAAAGCAATAGATGTATACTGCAGTAATGATTGCGGCATTTTGCTGGCTCGTTGGGATTTGAATTGTCAGGTGTTTGCTCAGTACTTTGCACAAAGGAGGAGTTCCTTAGGACTGCAACTCCTAAACATCCTTCAAAATAACAGAATAATATATCATTCTATTAAGACTTTGTGCTTCTGTTACAAAATGGATTTGGGAGGGCTTTTACACCTTTACATAAATCTGAAATTTGATAATGGTAGCTAATCATCTGAATGTTTCTTCTTAATGATATCCGTTTAAGCAGTGCTTTTAGCTCATCTTTTTTACTCCAAAAAAAAGCTAACAGGAGCATGGTTAAGCCCAACCCTATTGAAGATGCAGGTTAGGTATATGTTTAAAGGAATAATAGTTTTCAGAACTGGAGTCTCACTAAAGGGAAAATTGATTTTCAGTGTGTGGGCAGAATTAAACCTGTATTTCCCATTTAAATTGGTTTGATCAAAATCTAGCTCCTCTTCCTAAAGTAAGTGTAAGTGAAAACAGTCCATATCAACCACCCTAAGGAATACCAGATTGGCATTATGTGAGAGGGAGGAAAAAAAAACACAAAAACAAACACACACACACAAGGTGTCTTCTATATGCTTCAAAACTTGACATTCATTCCTACTGCCCTCAGAAAATAAGTGATTCATGAGCTGAGGTGGCTTTGGTGAAGTGGAGCTTTATCACAAGTAATTGGTCTTCCAATTAATCCTGAACAAAATGATAAATCTGTTAAACTTGATAACTGATAAAACTTGAAAATTGATAAAACTGGGCTGGATTTAAAACAGCATCCAAGAGCTTAGAGGTTCTTTATAGAGAATTAATTTTTAAAGAATGTAAAACCACAACAAACATTATTTCACATGTGTAGCTATCACTTTGTGTGCTTCTGCTCTACAAAACTCCACAAACACAAAAAAACTCTCATAATTTGGTAAAAGGCTATGCTAAATCCCATTTGCTAAAATCACATTCCAGTAAACCTGAAGAGACTTTGGATTCTGTTTTGCCAAATATAAAGCAACACCAAGGGCTAGGTTCTCAAACCTAGCTCTGGCTTGTACCTTAACTCATTTAAGAGTACCAGAATCCAGCCTTCAGAGAGCTGAATCAATCCTCTACATAAAATCCTTTATAGGAACAGCTCTTTGGACCTGCATCTTATCAGAGTAACTTACAGGGGTCTACACAGTTTGGGCAAATGTCCTTCTGAGAAGTTCTCCAGAACTTCCCTCACTAATACAGAAGCTCTTCATACCAACTGCTGAACTGCGTGAGCCCACACACAGTGACACAATCCCAGCTGTCGTCTCTCTGCTCACTGAGACACAACAAGGCCAGCTCGAGTTCTGGGTTGGAATTCATTTCACGGCAGTTCAGCTGCTTAAGCATAAATACCTACCTTAAACTGGCTATTTTGACTCCATCCATAGCCAATGGAGAAACAATGACACTTTCAGAGATTTATCATCATACTTGGCTTATACACTTAACTTCGGAAAGAATGAATTGCTACAGGTCATAGACACTCTCTGTTGACTAAAGATGTCTAGACATCTCACTCGAGACTAGAAGTTTAAAGTTTAAACGTCTATATTTAGAAAAAGTGACTTCCATCGCAACTGCGTTCTTGAGTGCCAGCACAGGGTACAGCTGACGACTCATTCAGCTATTCCCTGTCTCTGATGAAACAATAGTGAGCTAGATGAAAATATCTTTCCCAGAGGCTACCAATGGGACAATGCTGTCAGCATAATACCAAACCAAATCCTGAAACTCTGCCAAACGTGAAGCTAATCACCCACTAAACATAAAAGATTTGGTGTCATGCAAAACCACCTCTCACATGAAAATGGCATAGACCTGCAAGGCATGAACAACTTCACTTCTTCTGGCGCATCTAACCTGCTGATATCTTTGTATGGACCTCTAGTGCTTCTTGAAATTAATATGTATAGGTTACATTAGCCTCTACATACACAAGTTTGCCCCAGTTCTACAAGACAGAACATTGCTTTGAATTATGTAGGGGGGAAAGTACTGGTGCAATTAAAAACTGTAGAATGACTCCTGTTGAATCAGGAAAACAAGGGAGTATGGATAGTCTTTCAAGAAACATTATGGTAAAGATTTTAACTAGAAAAAAGGGGAAAATGGAAGAAAACCATCAAAGGAGTTAGTCACCCAGTCTTGTATGTATTACACATCATATACATTCCAACTTTTCTTTTTAACCAAAAGCAACCAACAAGTGTGACAGGTTAATGATTAATGACCTGATTCTGTAAACACCTAAAAGCACCTAATAAATCATGCTCCAAGTCTCAGGATGGTAGCCTATAATAAGCTCTCTGGACCCAAGCTTGGCTCTGATTAACAAAGATTTGCTAGGAATGCCTAATCTTGTTTCATTACAGAAGAACAAATATTAGAGGATACAGAAAGGACAATATTTCTGTATTACCCAGGCTAACAGTGCACATTCGAGAACCTACAAAAGACAAGACAGTCTAGAGCAGCCATTACCAAAACTCCAGTTACCTTTAGAGTCATATCATCAGAACAGGATGCCAAAAGATTACCAGTGGGATCCCATTTGATTGCATTCACTTCATTCTAAAATTGAATAGTGAGAATAAGTTGAGCCTTCATTTCCATTCCAAAAGATAGTTTATGAAAGATAAAGTTAGACATTAATTATAAGTATTTGTACAATTATCAGTATTTAACATTTAATTTCCATTCCTAGCTTCCACTCCAATAATAGTTTCTTTTTCTGCCTATTCATCACATTTTTCCCATGTGTGTTCTTCCACATTATACCTTGTGCATAATGAAGTCTTAAAGTTACTATGTTTCTCCTTGTAAAGTTCACCTTTGGTATGATATCCTGGCACAGGTAAAAGAGGCTGCATATGGCAAAGAGTTTTTATTCTAATAATGATAAAGACTGCGGTTAGCATATAACCTTAACTAACACTACCAGTGTATGCACCTGTTGCCAAAGACTTTCTATTATGCAAATACACAATCTCAAGCATACTGGGACCCCAATCCCTAATTAATAATAAAAATATCATATAGCAGCCACCACTTTCCGCTACTTACTGTGTGACCCTGGAAGGTTTTGATGGGCCTGTCTTGTCCTAATTTACAGACATGAATACACATGTCTGTACTGCAAGAGGCAAATGTGTTGTTGCTCTGCCAGTCAACATCTAATGCTGGTGCTAAAAAAAGAAAGATATTCAAAACTATGGTAGGCATTCTGCAGGGGTTTGATCTGCAAATTTAGCGTGCATCAGCTTAGAACAAATGCCAACAGGAAGCAACCGTTTATTTTACGGTAGTCCTAAAGATAATCAAACACTCTAGAGCAGTGAGAAATGCAGCTGACAGTCTTAAATAAATAAATAAATAAACGTTTAATAGAAGACAATAAAACATGAAATATAACTGAAATAAAACACTTTCACAGAAGACAGTGCAGCAGGACAAGCTACAGTTAAGTCATCTAAAAATGAATCTCAAGAGTCAGCCTGAGGAAGAAGTTCCCACAGCTTCACACATTGCCGTGCAGGAGATGATCTCCGCTAAGAGTCCATGCTTGTCCTCATGGATGGCAGCCAGTAAAAGGCTTAATTTTTTTTTTTTTTTTTTTTAAAGCTTGTTAAGGTAACTTAATCATGGGCAACGTATTCCATTTGGTCACCACTAGATATTTATGGCAAGAGAGCACATGGAATCTTGAAGTAGACCAAGCAGTGATGCTTTGGATTGTTGTTATACCACTGAAAACACCATGAGAGCGGAACAGAAAGTGGAAACGAGACACATTTCTTAAAGACTCTTCAGCAATACGTTCCTCATCCTCTTTGTTCCATTTTCCAGCTGATTTTGGCAGGCTTGCCCAGCATGCAGCTCACAAAGCAATTTGTGACCTCCAGTGAGGCAGCACTCTCATCCCAGCCGGCCAGAGAACGTTCATTGGCCTTTCAGCAGGCTTGCGGTCAAACAAATCGGGGACAGCACAGTAGAAAACAAGAGACAATGGGATGTGGAGATAGGACTACTGTAGGTAGGTAAGAGGAAGGTAAAGGTACTGTAGCAGGAAGATGACAAATGCAGTCTGCGGCTGATAAACAGAAATCCTTAATGGCCCACTCACTTGATTTGTTTGCCACCATACTAGATGAAGTTAGCAGTATTTGGATCATCTCTTATGACTTTCATATAACGGTAATAATATTGTGAGTTATGAAGTTATAAAATCAAAACAACTCCATCCTTGTTTAAATTCTTCTAAAAATTCATACAACTGTAAACACAGGAGTCAGTTTCCAAAGACTGTCTGTTTTAATTGGTGTGAATAAATGCTGTAAAGGTCAGACTTTTTTTTTTTTAAATAAATATCTTTTTTTTGGTGTTTTGCAGATGACAATCCAGAATGATCAAAAAAAAAAAAAAAAATCAAGACTTACCAGAATGAAAAGGAAACTGCTGCTTGGCTTCCCCAGTGTGGGCATCCCAAATAATTGTGGTCTGTATTAAACAGATAGATAAACAATAAACGGACACCCCCACCATTCATATGTAACAGATTACCAAGCCCACTCTCTGATTCCAAAACCAACTCAAGATTATATATCGCTACTACTTGGATCCAGTACTGAAGGAAATGGTGCAAGATATATCGCGTATAGTAGCTACAACAGAAGAGAGCCATAACATGTTTTAACATCTCGAGTTTTTGGTGTTTTTTTTTTATTATTTTAGGAAATAAAAGTTATTTCCTTATGCCAATTTATATTCCTCTAATCCACTCCACATAACTATTTTAATTACTTGTATAATACTTGCATATTTTAAGTACTTGTATAATGATACACCCTCCTTTGTCCATAAGGAGAGCTTAATATGAACACTTAAGTTTCATAAATAAAATCTTTCAGGTTATTAAGTACAGGTGTAATTTTGTTCTGAGTTCTTCTCTGACAATACTTCCAATATAATCTTTTGTGCATCAGAAAGCTATGACAAAATTAATATTTTATAAGAGCTGTATCATATAGCAACTTTCCTGACCTATCTCACAATAATCAATGACAATTCTGACACTGAATTCAGTGGGGGCATGAACTGATCACACAAATTATTTATGGAGAAAAAAGCATAAGTTTAAGTCCATATTTTTGCTAATGCAGAATATTTTTAAAGCATAATCTCAGCTCATCCAATGGGTTTTACTGACTGAAGCAATGAGGGTTCTCTCTCCTCCATTTGCATACTCTTCTGCAAAATAATGCTGCACCTCCACAAAGATTTTAAAACCGGCATGGCTGCCAAAAGTAGTAACCCATCTTTTCCACGCTTCAAGACATTCACTTTCCCTTCGTTTGTGCCAGCACAACTATTTGTGAAGCTGGGCACTGAGGCAAACCAGGTTAAAAACAATCCAGGTAAACCAGCTATACAAATAAGTAGAGGAGAAAGCAAGTCCAAGGCTTTTCAGTGGTATTGACAGCTAAAGTACTGTGGAACTGTGGTCTTAATGAACTTGCAGTTTGTCAATCTCATTAAGAGCAAAGCCAGTGTTTACCTTTGCACCTTGAATCAGTTATAAATTAAGGAAAAATTAAAACAACCCTTCTTAGTCTTTGAATGCTTCTTAAATCTATTCTTCATCACTGTGTGTCCTTCCTATTGTTCACAGAATTTCCCGCAGTAACAACAACTTTGAATTTAAAGACTTTGCAATTCTTTAAATTTATTTAGACGCACGAAGTAAAATGCAGTTAAACAATGATCTCCACGGCATTACACTCCTGCCACCTCCCCAGTTCTGATCGTCTTTTATCCTAGCTCTTACCTGTTTAATCACTCTCAGGCTTGACTGATATCCACATGAGCCAGAATCTATTTCTGCAGTAAGATTTTTTCTGAGGCTTTCCATCAAGTACTTCACTAAACTTTGGATGATTTGTTTCTACAAAGGCCTAATGTTGCTGTGTTCAATGCACCTGTTTTCTAACTAACTGGGAACAGATCAAGGTACACTAAAATCTAATGAATTAAAATACTCCAATAAACGATCGTAAAACAATGAAATTTAGGTAGCATGACTAGTTCTTTATAAGTACATGTTTATTTCCCATGACTTTATTTTAATTTACTTACTTTCTATGGCTTTGTTAATAGATATTTCCAATGAAATTTTAACGGTGAAGTAAAGAATTTTAATTTTACCAAAGATCATCTCACCTTGTCCACTCCTGCACTTAAAATGAAGTTTCCTTTCTTGTTCCATTTTAACGCAAATATAGGACCTTTATGTTGCCCTAAGGTGCTGGCAAGATTACCTGAAAATTTATATTGATATGAATACATTAAAAAATTAAAGTCACAATGAGGAAAATTTACTGGATATTAAAAGTATTTCACTTACCATCTTTAGTCCATATCCTTGCAAACCCATCATAGGACCCAGTTGCTAGAAGTGTACCTTCACTCTGCCAGCAAAAAGGTGGTGGTTGTTGTTATTTTTTTTTTTTTTTTAAACCGTACAACACAAAGCTAAAGAAGAACAAAGCAAACTGCAGGAAGAAGGCTTCTGCATAAGATTCATGAAATTTATTCAGTAGGCCATAATTTGCTAAGAAGAAGTCTCCAAAGTACAACACAAAGAGTTATGATGCAACTCAAAACCAGAAATATTTCAGGAGCCGTACTAGAGGATGCATAGTCACTCTTACTTAAAATTTGACTACGCAAAATTACAGATGCAGTTTTCTCAGAGGATTTTGAGCACCGTAACTTCTACTTACGTTCCAATCCAGTGATGTCACGTCTTTGTTGCTTGGTACATCTTGCCCTCCTTCTCGTATACAGTGTCGAAGTACCAGCTGTGTAGAGCCACTTGTGCTGTTTTCACTGAGGTTCCATATCCGTGCTGTCGAATCTCCAGATCTACAAAGCAATTATGAGACCATAAATCTCCCTCTCTATTAATTTATTTCAAAAAAGGTCTCCCCCTTCAAAACAGCAAATGCTGTGGTATCTGATGTAGACAGCAGTAAGGAAGGTTTTATTTTAATTTATTGCCATAAACATACAAAGTATGTCAATGTACGTTAATATCATCTACCTAAGGACATACTTTTTCACTGACACCTGCGCTTATACGTGTGAATGAGGTTGTTTTTCTTTCTATACTTGCATATTTTTTTCTAGATTTTTGAAAGCATGTCCCCTTCACCAAAAGGTATCCAAAATATATTAGTAGCTGGACACCAGCAAGTTCATAGACAAGAAGAAACGTGCCAAAGGGAAAATAAAACAAAATAAAAAATTGAACGGCAGAAGAGAAACTGGAATATTACGACCAGGAGATAGTTCACTCTGTCAGCAAAATACAGGCAGTTGGAGGTGGTGATAGATGAACCGTTTTGGGTTAATGCACGTACCCTGAGGCCAAAAGGTCACTAACGGGATTCCAGGCACAGATGAATACTTCAGATTCATGGCCACGCAGCACCACTGCTTTGTTGGGAGGGATTTCAACATCTCCATCTACTTCCATCATATCTGTGTGATTATCTGCATTATGGGAAACAACAGTAGAAAGAAGCGGATTTTAATATTTTGAGATAATAAATTTTGACCAGTGTATGATTAATAATATTTTGGAATGAGCACAATAATTAATTCACAGTGTCCATAGACCAAAATCTGACAAAAATCTTACGTTCCTTTATTTTTTAAGTTCCAAATTAAGTATTATAAACAGAAAGGAATTTTAAAAACGCAAGAAACCTTCCTTCTAAACCTCATCATCTAAATGGACTGAATTTTGAAACTTTAAAATTGAGGCCAAAAGTTAATTTTTTGCTATGTTAAAAAAATATACAGTAACTTTAAAAGTACTCCCAATTTGTCAGACACTATACTGCATGGAACAATATGCTCTTTGTCCATCTTGCTCCTTAAAAACACATTAATGACATATTAGCTTTCAAAAATGTATCTTTTTAGCAAGGGCAATCAAACAGGGGCTAAATCTACATTTCAGACACTTTGTTTACCAAAATGGTTTTAATTACTACAATAACCTTTGGTGATATGGTAAACTGATAACAGAGCTTTTTTAAATAGCATTGGCAACTACCGAGAAACTGTGGCAATATACAGCTTTTTGTGTGGACGTAATGCTGAACCCATATTGTTTTGTAAAATATACTGGAGGTAATTCATCTGAAAAACAGTTTTCCTGCCAGCTGTCATCAATTATTTTCTATTATTAAAAATAAATTCACACTAGGAATAAATGCAGAAGAACATGAAAAATACTAAACAGTTCACCTGCTCCCTATTTATTCATTCTGGTTAATAAAACAAAAAACAAAAACCACCCCACACCCCACATCTATTGCTTCATTTAAAATTAAGGATTCTGTCACTGTTTATGTATGTGAGAAAATAGAAAAGGCTATTCGAACAAGCATATTTTTAAGACAGAGTACCACATAAAACGTTATTTCACTTAAATCAATGGCAGTATAATTTGGTGTACTAGCCAGTAGAGGTTGCTGGTATATCACGTTTAACAGTGAGTGAGATCTGAAGTTGTATTTACTCTACCCAGCTAAGGAAATACTTTTTTGAGATTTTTAAATGCAAACATTGAAGGACAGAGCTTCTTCGTTTAAACTAAAGAACATATTTCCAAGTTTATTTATTATGCATAATAATGAATAAACCTAGTAAAACCCAGCTGTAAAATATAAAACTTACATATGGCTTGATATGAATAGTCTCTCAGAAATCCTTTTGCTTCAGGTGCATTTGTGCTCCTCTGTAGTTCTTGATCTACAGCATGTAATCCAGGCTTCCAGAATATTTGCAAAGTCTCATTTTAATGTCTTACGTGAACCCTTCTTCCTATCATAAGCCTGGTTTTAAGCTATGTTCCTTTGACCAGCAATGACAAATAAAATTCCTTTGTTTGACACAACTAAATGGTATAGTTCAATAAATCAATGAATAAACAAAATCTGCAAGCAATTGCATCTAGTAATTCTGAATAACAAATCAAGCAAACTGATACTGATAAAGCAGACGAAAGACACAGGATTTGTCTTGGCATCCAGGATCTTCTTAGCATGATAAGGAAAACTATACCCCAGAGAACTGGCATATACCAGAAAACTGGTTACAGGATTTGCTGTGTCAAAAGTAGTGTTAGCTGCACCATCATAAGCAATACCCAGTTTTACGCAGTTAAGGATTAGCAGAGTCCTCTCCTCTTCCCTTGTAAGGGAGGACAAAGCTGAGGAATTGTCTGCCTTTTTTTTTTTTCCCCCCCCTCTTCAGTCAAGAGTTCTCAGGGTTTTGTGAAAACCTTCACGTGACAGGAAAGGAGCAGAAGTGGAAGACTCTGGTCAATGGTATATTGTCAATTACTGAACTCAGAAGTTCACCTCCCTCTGCCTGTCCTGCAATTTCAAATATCAAACCAGGGATGCTCCAAAGGTGAGACACTATCTATCTACAGAGTTGGTACACTCTTCAAGCTGAAGGGTTACCAATACCTACGTACGTTTATCTCACTGTCTGCTAGCTAGCATTAAGGCCTATTAACAGGCTACATGATAAACGACAAGGGACTGACATTACTTAGGTTAAGTTTATTTCTGTCTCAACTTACTTGCTATAGTATGTGCTCCATTCTCTTCTCCATTTGCAGTATTTTCTCCATTTTTCGCTGATCCCTGTTGGTTAGTTGCAGCCGCAGCTGCAGCAGCTGCTGCCTGCTGTTGTGCAAGTTTATCTCTGTAGGCCTGCTGTCTTGTCTGTACCACATCAGGCATTACTGCATCTATCAGTGAGAGAGACTCTATCGGCCTACCATCAAACAAGGTACCATCCTAATTTATAGCGGAGGGAAAAAACAGAAAAGACAACACCAAATATGAATTAACATTATGGGCAAAAAATCAAATAAAAACTAAAGCTTTTATTTAATACAATAAAAAGGCAACAGTTTACAAACGGCGCTGGAAGCAATACCCTGAATATCTCATCATTTTTGTGGTTAAGATTGGAATTTTAGTTTAAAGGTAAGTGGCCATCATAAATATGTTAAAAAGCCACTGCAGACCTCTGGCAGAGGCTCTGGGATCAAAAGTTATACGCTTTGCATTTGCAAAATTGTTTGCTAAAGCAAAAAAACTCTGAGAGCTATCTATGAATATGATTTCAAACATGAGTGGCTGCAACAAAATCTAATGGTTTCTTTGAAGAGCTGCAAACATTGCAAGTCAGGTCACTGGCTTGTGAAGCTATTCTATCTTATTAAACTAATACTTCCCATAAACATATTATCTGGAGAGTTGACTAGTTTTCTTTCTTTTTTAAACAGTGCTGGCATGTTTTCAAATAACAAATAATTATATCCTGAAATGGACAAGACCCCGTTAAAAATACCCTTATACGTATGCTAGGGCTTTGTAAGAAACTGTTTTTGGGATCTAGAAGGATTCCTTGTGATAAATATAGGGTCCCCTTTTCCTACTCCAACAACTTGGCTTTATTTTTCTGAGGCTTCCCAAGGGAAAGGATCTGCTTCACTGGGACTACATAGCAAACTACATAGCAACAGAGACACAAAGGGAACTGCAAAGATAGCACAAAAATCTGAAAAGTCTGTTTTCTTCTGTAACATAACTGACGCATGCAAAGGCTGCTAACCTTCTGGACATCAATGTTTAACGGAAATTGAGGGCATCTGCAGTATCAGCTGGTAAGATACATAACTTTCTGTACTGCTGGAATAATGATTTAAAAATCAAGTTTAATAGATCCTTCTCAAGATAAATTAGCCAGTAAAGGCAAGAAGTAGACTAGCATAAACCTTTGTCCTTCCGGCCACAAACTGAAACCCCTCTTCTATTTGGAATTCCTTTCCTTCTTTGGGCCCTCATTATTTCATTACCATGACAGGTCACCCAAAGAAGAGCTGCACAGCTCGCTCCCACCTCACTAGTGTAAAACTGTGGAAACAGAAACTGAGAGATTGCTTGTCTCAACTATTATTTTATTGCACTTGTCTGGATTTACTACAACATTATATTAGGGTAAAAACTCTACAGACAACGGACCTTTAAGCAATGAGCCAGAACACCATGCCTGGTGTTGTGTGGCTGCACTGGGCAGAACCCCTACCCAGTTATGTCACTCCATTCTGGTTCCACCACTGGAGTCATGGTGAACACCAGCAGTAAGGAATCTGAAGTAAAAGTAAATAAATAGGATACAAGAAAGTTAAGAAAAAGCACTAACATTCAAACTTACTGCAAGCAAGGACATAACGCTCCTACAGGCAAAACCTCCTTACCTCATTAATACTGACTTCTGCCTCTACATACTGCAGACCTTTCTGGATGATGGAAATCAAAGCAGCTGGTGGCACCAGAGCACCGTTTATATTAGACTGGCTGATATGGCTCTCTATACCGAAGGTAAAAGCTGAATGGGAAAACCCTAGAGACAAGGCAAAGACAGCAGAATTGATGTACAGATAAACAATGCTGTTTGTCAGAGTGTTATAAAATCTTCTGTTTGCAAATCTAAAGCAAGTTAATACAAAATTATAGCAAGCTTATGAATTAGCAAAAACTTATCTGAACACTTCTGAGCAGAGTCAATTAGATTTCCTCTTATATGTTTCTAGTTCAAATGCAAAGTAAGTAAATACAGAAATTATTATTAATTGCTAATTATTAGTAGTAATTGTTATTACTGGCAAAACACTTGTGTGTGAAGAAAGTATAAAATATATATTACACGATAATATATATTATTTTACATATATTTAGATATTACATTATAGAAGTATATAGATGGTATGGGTATATATCTATCTATCCAAGAGTCACATGTTATTTTCCTGTTCTCATTCATTTGTTACTCATGAAAACAAAGTGAATTAACTTCATGGTACATTGCTGTCATAATTGTGTATGCTGTGGCAATCAGAACTACATCAGTATTATTTATTGTTTACTAAGTGCAACACTGATGGCTGCTTACTATTTATTTGATTGCCGTAAAAGGCAAATTTTACCTGGAGTAAAATAATTGTTTCAGCAAATTAAGATTACTTTCATAGAGGTATTTCCTTAAACCATTGCCTTCTTTGCCATCAGGTAACTAAGAAGCTGCCTCCAAACTTTCAAATAAGGTAATGTGGTAAGTTTGGCTTCTGTGACAAAAGCAATCTGCAACTGGAATAAGAACATATACTAGCTTTGTGTAAATTCAGGTGTAACAATGAGTTTCTCCCTTCTGAGACTGAAAAAGTCTGCCATCCATTATCTCAATTTGCAAAGTCCATAAGCAGTGGACAGATGTTGCATCAGTCTCTGTTAGCTCTGAACAAAAAGTATTTACATTAAAACCATAAAATGTCACTCAAACGAATATGACTGTATGTAGGTAATGAGTCAAGGCAAACAAATTTACCTAGAACTAGGATGCCACCTGTTACTGACGACTGAGTTGAAATATAAACAAGAGAATTACTTCTTCTAACCTTAGGAATGGTCTATAACATTATCCTCCAAAACCAAAAGTCTGTTCTGTGCCAATATAATAAATAAATACATTAGCAGTTGATCCTTTTTCATTATCAAAAGGGAGGAATCTGTCTTCAGGTCAGTGACACCGGCAGTATGCTAGGATAAAATCTGAAAAGTAGATGGAATCTGAGAAAACCTGTTAAACTAGTCACCTGCATCAGAGAATTCCCCTGAGCCACTAAAATGGTTGTTTATTCCCCCTGTTTCCTAAAATTCTCAGATTCTTTTCTTCATAAAAATCTAGTAATTTGAATGGCTACAGAGTAAGAGCTGATTTAACTAACTTAGGTAAAGGATTCTTACTCCATTGAATTTTTTTCAAAAGCGTGCCTAACACGATGCACTGCAGTCAAACACGTTTTCAATAGGTCTGAAGCCGCTAATCAGCGACCACTGAATAAGAATCAGTAGATGCCGAAACAGCAAAGTAACATATACATTAAAGGCTCATCCCATTCACCGTTACCTGAAGGCCTGTGTTTACTTTTTCTTTAATACACAGACTTGTTTAAGGTATTGCTAAGATTACATTCCCTCCTGCCAGCAGGCAGTCATTGTTTCTACATACACTGGGGCACATCCTGATTTTCAGTCACATTGGCTTTTAGAAATTTTTAAAATAATCTATTTAAGGGAATACTAAACTATTCTTGTATTTTACAGACACAGATAAACACGACAGGAAAAAAAAAATCGCTTTGCAAGTTTGACATTATCCATCTGTCTTTTGCTCTTAATACTGAGTAGCAGGAGACTTCTACTAGCCTTATACTGAAGAACTAAATCCTCCAAGAAAGCATCCTACAGGGAGACTTTTGCGAATCCAAGAGTTGTTCTTGTAAGAGATGGGCCTGTTTATCTGTATAAGTTTATCTGTATTTAGATTCAAATGATATAAGTCATATGGTCTCAGTTGCCATTTCTCTCTCTGAAATAGAGTAAAACTTGCAGTTCCACAGTCACATTCAGTCAAGGAATTTTGTCATACAAGACCAGCTCACAGGAACATCATCCTGAGTACTTCAAGAAGAACAGGAAATAATTTTTGGTAGTCCTCCCTTTTTTTTTTTTTTTTTTTTTTTTTTAAAGGGAGTCCTTATTTGGTTGACTGCCATCTAAAACCTCCAAATGACTAAAAGTGATTAAGTTACAGAAGGTAACTTGGCAGGAATTCATTCTCTTGTTGAGAGGAAACACCACGAAACTGTTCAGACAGAAGGCACACACCTACTGGCAAAAAAAATAAAATGAGTTTTCATTTGATAAAGTCAGTTGCAGATGAATACCAAACAAAATATGCATTAATAACCAGCACTGAAAAACTCACCTGACTCTTGTAAGTATCTATATACCAGGAAGTTAACCTCATCACTGCTTATACTCATCTTTATTCCCAGTTAAACCATGAGGTCACAACAAAGGACACAACCCTGAAAACGAAAAAGTAGGTCAATTAAACATTTTCAGCATGCTTCTCAACAAATGCTATATTTATAAAGTAAATAACTTCTTGGTAGCATCAGCAATCACTTTATTTTATAATGCAAATAAGTCTACCGTAACCTTTCAAGTGTCATTTGGCTCACAACAACATAAAGGTGAGTAACTTAAATAGCAGAGGGCCAGAATCTCAAGTGATGCAAGTTGAACTGGGAAACTGTGCCTGACAACAGCAGTATTAGAGGGGCCTCATTCCACATGTTTTAAAAAAAAAAAAAAATCAAGGGAGTTTCACCTCCCCTCCATTTATTACAATAAACCTCCATTATTACTATGCAATGCATTTTTCAAAATTTGGGTTTCTCTCTATTTGTATATCAGAGTACTTGTTTTCACTTTTTTATCTAGGCAATTTCCTACTTTCACTTTCTAACACACTTCATTTTCAGGCACTCACACTCTTACAAAAAGGTGCAAGATGGATTATAACACTTTATCTGTTCAAGGAAATCCCAACCGTTTCCACTAAAGACTGCAGAACATCTTAGTCATATGCTTTGCAAAAGTAATCCAGAAAATTAATCAAGTTTAATGAGAGTATTTTTATTAACATTTCTCTATGCTTTTAATCAATGCTTTAAAACATAGATGGATATGTATTTCATTTCCCCTTGACTTCATTAGTGGTAAATATTTAGCAAGACTAATAGTACATCAGACTATATATATATTTAATGACAAAGTTTCAAATATGAAGCAAGAAGAGGATTTAAACCCCAAAGACAAATGGAAAGAATACAGTATTCTATTTTTATCTGATTTTTAAGCCTAATTTTGGAGAACATGCTCATGATTTCTAAATGTTTGAAAACGGAAATCCTAGTCTTTTCCGTCACATCAAGTAAACAAGTAAAAACACGGTCTTCCATAATAGAGAACAAAATACTATCCATTTACTATCTGTAATATCTGCCTGGCATTTTTCATCAGCAGACCTTCAAGTTTTTTTACACAGCTGCCACCATCATTACCTTCTACGAAAATGAAGTCAGAGAAGGTAAGTGACTTTCCTAAGGGTATTAGAAAACGTTTGACCTGGATACGGTGTAAGAAAGGACTGGGGAACAGGTTCTCTTGTATTGTTCAAAACGAAAAGCTCTTGCTGTGAGTTCTCCGCTGAACGGCTGTATGGTCAGGTCATTCGATACTTTTGCTAGAAGTGGGAAAGCTATGAATGCAGCAGTGAGCAACAAAAACCTAAAACATTGTGATCAGCATTAGAAGCCTGCCAAATAGTAAAAGGCTTTACATATTCTTTCTAGGCATTTTTTCCTAGCAAGATTTCCTAAAGAAATAGGACAAAATAGTCACGTTGTCTCTCTCATCATCTAACTCTTCAATTTTACTGGTCCATTTCAACTAAATTTGACAGCGGGAAGCCCTCTCAACGACAAGCGTTTTGTACAAATTCTATATGGCTGGCAGCTGGAGAGAGAAAAGAGACCCCATTAAGCCCCTGCACAGAAGGAGAGGCTACAGCATGAACTCCGACAGCAAGCTGGTGCGCTTGCCCGACATCCGGCGTACGCTGGACGCCTCCAAGGCGGCCCCAGCAGGCACTGCCACCAGCCCAGCTGGTACCCAGACGCGTGGGAGGGCAGAGCACGCCATGGGTTAGGGTTAGGAAACGCACACGAAAACGGGCAACGGACAGAGCCTGAGAGTGGCTACATCCCGCTCGGTCACGGCGAGGGGGAGAGTCGAGAGGTTATGATGCACGGGAAGCGGGGAATTGGAAAGGGTACTGGGCACGTCCACCGAAACCCAGGCTGCACCGCGTACAGAACAACTTGAGCTCAAGACCACCGCGGTGTGTAGGAGAGGAAGATGTTTCTAGTTCCTTCAAGAAATTATAAATACACAGCTATTTACATCTTTCTCACCCTCCCCCCCCACCAATAAACAAATCAATAAAGCTCCAGTACAAGACCTTCTGGCTGGTGAAACTCAGCTATTACAGGTACACGGGCATCACCCCATCCCAGCCATTCAGTCCCCAACATACTTGATGTACAAGGTGTACCTGTAAGGTTACAATATAATTTTACGGATCATTTATTGAGCAGAGCATGGAACTAATGTCATTTTCCACTGTTTCATGCATTAGCAACCAATCCTAACAACAATCGTAGCACCAAATACTAATTTTATCCAGGTGTGTTTTGTTGTCAAACCTGGTGTAAACCCTATCTTTATTTAAGGCTGTTAGTTGCAGAGAAGCTCTGTAGTAAGAACTATATTCTCCTTAAGAAAAAGGTAACTCAATTTAAAAAAAAAGCCAATACAGAAGCCTTTTTCACATTACCCACGTAGAGAAATGGTAACACTTGTTTCATCCATCTATTACGCATCTTAAAATCTCCCTGCAACATCCAAAAAGAGAAGAACGTAGACATCGGACACAAGTGCTATTTGCTATAGAAAAGATCTGTGTTACTCATACAGAGAGGACTCCCCACTCAAAGCAGGATTGTTGAAATGCCACACAAATGTCCTCGCCATGTGTTATTCAACTGGGTAACTAAAGAAGAAAACTAACATTTTACTTGCCTGTCAAAAGCGGTATTCATCCTGCCCAACTCAGAGGAGTAAAATTTTTCAGGGCTAGTTCGAAGTGCTCTTAGCAACATGTTGGTTAAGGTAAAGACAAGCACTGTCATTTAGCTCATGAAAAAACGCTTTCCTACCTAGCTGTCAAAAGATGGCAGTGTAACACTAACTTTTGAATGGTAACAACTCGAAAAATACAAAAATGTGTTAAATAAAAACACAGCTTGCCTGATGAGGACATGCAAGTGAAAAGGGTGCAAAAGTTTCTAGTTTCTTACTAAGATATTACTTTACCCTTTTTTTTTTCCAGTGCATCTTTAAATCTTGTGCAAGCTCCTTTCTGTATTAACCCTTCGTCACAAGACCTCCGCACTGTCACTCAGCGCGCAAGGAAACAACCAGCACATAAGCTATTGCACAAAGGAGGGAAATGAGGAACTGTAAAAAGCACAAGCAAACCCAAACAATCCTCCTTCCCTTCCCGAAACCAAACAAGCAAATTAAAGAGAAAATCCAGCGGCAGTACAGATAAGAGGGGACACAATAACTACTTCCCCTTTGGTAAATTCTTAATCCACACACATCCTCAATTCTGGCTGCCAGGCTCAGGTTGCCCACCACCACCTTAGCACAATTAACCGCCAAGTCGGCTGAGGGAGCTACCCCACAGGAAAGGGAGCTGCACTGCGGCCACCTCCAGGCACCGGGGCAGAGTTTGCAGACGGCTTAAGAGCGAGCTCCGTGCCGCCTGAACTCCGCTTCCCACGACGGAGAAGCTGCCGCGCTACAGTTCCCAGCCCTGGGAGCTGAGCTCCCTCAGGCCTTCCGACGTGGGAGCGTAGCAGCGTTGTGTGGAAACCAAGCAGCAGGAACGGGCTGAAACTCCACCAACTCCCGGTTGCGGAAGTGGTCCCAAAACCAGTACTGACAGAAGCAATTCCTAAGAGCCCTGAGACAGGTCCTTAGGTGGCCCTGGGCAGCCAGGAGCTCCTGTGGCCCAGGAGGGCTGCCTTGAGCGCGGGGGCACAGGAGGAGCCAGGAGGGGGCCACAACCCACCCCTGACAGCAGTGAAGGGAAGGCAGAGACAGAGGTGCAGACAGCACGGAAGGAGGAGCAGGGGCAACCCCTGCCCCCAAGGTAGCCAGTCACGTTATTCCACATGCTCAACACAGAACAGCCACCCCCTCGCTTTATACCAAAGTTACAACTTGCCTAGGATGCCTGCCAAAGAAAAACAATAACCCCGAGGAAAATAAACCAGCTAACCTATGGACCGTGTGAACGTCGTTCTCCTTAATGCTACAGCAAGGCCCCAGGGTTTGTTTGGAAGGTGATGGGAAGGCTTTTCGAAGGTGATGTCAACTTACATGGAAACAGAAACATGAATAGAAGAGGAAAGATCAAACTGAATGAGAAGAAAATTAGAGGTGAACAAATAAATGAGTCCTCTTACATGCGCACGCGCCCAGGCATGTACACACACGCTCCCCATATTAACAACTCTACCTTATTAATGTTGCTTTCCTTTATTTCCCCAAGATCCTCTATTCCCATGTGCAATTGACTGCTTATTGTTGACACTTCACAGGACAGTAATATTGTTCTTTATTTTAGATACAGCAATTAAACAATGGAAAAAAATTGGGAAAAAAATCCAAGAATAATCAGAATTGACACAAAATTCCTAGCGGTCTTAGACTTCTCGCCTCATTTGCATAGTGCCTATCAAAAATATTTTAAAATATTTACGATTGTGTATTACAAATACAGTCTGAAAATGTGAAAAGATACTTAAGAATATATATATATATCTTCTATATATTGAAAAATTATTCATATAACTAGATATACACATATTTCCTGGCCCTTGCAAAGTATTCCAAGTCTTGTCCTGAACACTTTATGTGGATTTACAGGAAACACAGAAAAGGAGCGTGCATCCACACTACTGTTTCAGTTCAAAGGGCACTTTGAAAGGAAACCTGCTTGCCCCCACTTTTGGTGCGCATCTTGGAGCCATACCAGTACACGTGAATTAGATTCTTCATAGGCAAGACTAAACCCCAAACTGCTCAGAGACATTCAGTCCGTGGGATCAGACTAGAAATAATCCAAAGTAAACTCACCAAAGACATACACAAGCATGCACACTGCATCCTAAGCACAGGCTGCTTTACTCTACTGGTCTCTTCCTTGTGCATCTCAGTAATGCTTAGGGAGGCACAGCTGAGAGCTCAAACATTGTCCCAAAAGCCCCATTTGAAAAGGTAACAAAAGACAAAATTTTCCAAACGGACTCTGACGTTTTTAAATTCCAGCCTACGGCAAGCCATCATTTTTTTCTATAACGATTCCACACTCTTCCTCGAATTTGCTTCA